TATTAGCTGTTTATAATTTTCTTGATATTATTAAGGTTCCAAATATACAAAACATAAATGAAACAAACAAGCTGGAATCTTTCTGCTTTACCTCACTAACTGTAATGTAATCAGCAACAATGTCATGTTCACCGATCTGCAGAAACATTGTGTATCTTTAAGGAGGATATTTTCTTTTCCTTTCTTTTTTTTCTCTTTTTTCTTATTAAATTTGAGAACAGAAGCCTTAGGTTAGAAAAATTAGGTTAGATTTCTCAAATGAGCAGTCATAATGTTTTGGAATTTTATCCTAGGGTTTTTAATCAGAAGAGCACTGTGACAATGCACCTATATCTACACATCGCATGACTTTTTAAAGGGGTTTCTTCTTTTCATATACATATGGAAGAAAAAATATCTCAAATATGAATTTTTTCCAAACAAATAAGCAAATATATTTCTTGTTAGTGGTTAACTTCTACAGAGAGATTTTCTTTTTATTCTCTACATTTTCAATAAAAAAACATTAAAATCTAGCAGTCACAGCAACCAATTATAAAAAAATGCTTAACAAAGTCACTTTTGAGCAATCATAATCCTAGGTTTTGAGTCAGTTTTCCTTCTCTATATCAAGTTATATCTTAGACTGTTGAAGTGTGTGACAGGTAGAAAGTGAAATCTCTATGTTCAACAGTAAATAAGTTAATTCAAACTAAATTATATTTTAAGAAATGAAACATTTACTTAAAAAATAGATCAAGCTAAACTTCTAGTCTAATAAAAATATATAACTAATAATATTCCAACAATAAACATTAATTATGTGGAATGGATTAAATTTCTGCAATTTTGATAAGAAATATTTATACTCATTTCACACACTGAGAGTCCTATTTAATGTTGGCTTATATGTATACATTAACCCCATGACATACATATAAAGATACACATTGGCACCTGATAGATGAGATCATTAATATTTGAATTTCTTTTAATAACTATTTTATTTAAAAATATTCTTTGTATAGATAAGTCAGTTTAAATATTTTTAGAATTTGCTTTGTTTTTCATCAAACCATTCACATACTTCTAGATTTTCTCTTTAGTTTGTAAAAAGAAAAATACTTTTGAGTTACTTTGTAGCTTTTGTATCAATCTGCATAAATGAAGCTGCTTTCTGGGTTAGACTTAAAACATATAAATAAACTAAAAGAGAAAGCAAGTAAAGCTTAGAGTGATGGACATTGTTAATGCATTTAAAATGTTACTCAGAAGCAATCAAGTGAATTTCCAGACTCTTGAGCTCTATAGCAATGATATTGCAACTTTTTTCAAGAGGTGAGACTTTGAGCCAAATGATTCTAAGACTTTTGGCTCAAGGCCTAACTGAGGTAAGACTTGTTTGTGGAAAGCTGACACTCTTGAGTTCTTAGACCATATGATGTCAAGTGAAACTTTAAGGAGGCTGTTACAGGTTGAATTGTGTTCCCTGAAAAGTCATGTGTTGAAGTCCTAATCACTACTATCACAGAATGTGACCTTAATAGGGTTAAAACGAGATCAATAGGGTGGGCTCTAATCCAATGTGATTTATGAAGAGGGGATTTTTAGAGACAGACAGGGATACATGCAGGGAGGACTTCTGTGATCTGAAGACAGCCATTTACAAGTCAAGCACAAAAGCCTAGGACAGATCCTCCCCTCACAGCCCTCAGAAAGAATGAATCCAACACCTTGATTTTGGACTTCTGGCCTCCAGAATGGTGAGGTAATACATCTGCATAAATTAAGATTAAAACAATGCAACACATTTCTATTGTTTAAGCACTCAGTTTGTGGAGCTCTGTTATGAACGCCCTAGCAAACCAACACAGATGGCCTATAACAGAAAACAGTATTCCCAGACCAAGGAGAATTTACAGAAGACAAAGACTTGACTGACGAGTCTTTGAGTGCGATGAGTCCAGAGCAAGTGCTGACTGCTGAAACAGTTTTTTCTTGTCAAAATGCAATGAGTACAGGGTTTGATGAGTTCTGAAGCCATTGGGTACTGAGGTGTGACTTTACACATTTGGGTGAACACCAAATCCTCAATATGCTAAACATTTATCAACAGAAAATACCCTGAAGAACAAAAATGACTGGTTTATGTCAATCAAGACATGGCTTTGGAAGAAAATAATAAATGCAATAAATGTTCTTATAAAGAAGACTCTCCCAAGACCATGAAGACATATTAAAGAAATCATCCAACGGGGCCTACAAGATGTTGAGCTGTGCAACAGCCAAGCCACTGGCACTGAACAGTAAGAAGAATTTTTGTGCTTTTCACTAAGATGACATGAAAAGCAAAGAACAAAGCTCCCACCCCATCCAAAGCAAAAGCTTTGAAAGCAAAAAAAACAGTGACAAAAGGCATCCCCAGCCACACAGAAAAAAGATCTACACATCATCCACCCCTTGATGGCCAAAGACACTGTAGCTCTGAAGGCATCCTAAGTATTCTCAGAAGAGTGTCCTCAGGAGAAGCAGTCTTGATCACTATGCCATCATCAAGTTTCCCCCGACTACCAAGTCTGCATGAAGATAGAAGACAACAATATACGTGTGTTCATTGTGGATGTCAAGGCCAATAAGCACCAGGTCAAATAGGCCATTAAGAAGCTCTGTGACATTGACACATCCAAGGTCAATACCCTGATCAGGCCTGATGGAGAGAAGAAGGTCTATGTTCAACTGGCTCATGACTATGATGCTTTGGATGTTGCCAACAAAATTGGGAGCATCTAAACTGAGCATAGCTGACTAATTCTAAATTTAAAGAAAAATAAAACAAAACATGCTCTCATCTAGAGCCCTAACATTCTCATAGATATTTTCCAGAAGACTCTAAATTTGGACTCTAGCTATAAAAGGACAGCACATGATTATCAGTAATGATTGATGTGACAGGCAATAACAATTATCATAATAATCTTGAGGATGGGAGTCAAAGTCTCATAGCTAACCCCAAGGTCTAGCAAATAATTGGTATCCTAATCAAGGGCCTTTCCTTGGCACAAACGCCAAATAACCCCCAGACACTCAGGGAACATATAAAGAATCCTGTGACTGACGAAGATCCAGAAGCGGATCACGATTTGAGAATGCTATGTTCAGCTTATTTCCCTTCCCTTCTATATAGGATATGGAAAGTGTTCCTGGGTTGCAACAAAGAATAAAGAGGAGGGAGAGAAAAAGCAAAGGGAGAAAACTCCAATCCATATAATTATAAACATAATATATATGTACATGATGTATTCTTTGTATGACAGCTGTCTCAATACCCTCAAGGGTTCTTTACTGCTGTCACTTGAGTTCTATATCTCCTCCCTTACCAAGCTATCTTAGCTATTGTTTCTCATAGTTGCAGATGGGGGGAATGGGGAGGTGGTGATTGTACAGTAGGTATGTATAAAGGTGAGAGATTATTCTTCCTAGTGCCAACTATTCTTCTCACATTTCTAATCTAACTATCATTTTTTCCCTAAGAAAAAAAGCCATTCTGGCAGTGCTATGGGGTGGAGAGAGAAGAGGGAAAAGGAGAACAGGTACGGGGAGAGAAAGAAAATGAATCTGTATTATCTACCAGTGTGGGTCCTGCAGGAGACATCACACAGGTGGATGAATGAGTTTTAAGCAAAATTTGTTTGAAGAGCAGAGATATGAGAAAAATTAATGCTAATTCATAATGAGTCATACTTTGGGTTGGCATGAGACTACATAACTTAGTTTACAATTCTTCTTTTCTCTCAAATGAGCACATTTTAAAACTGACTTTCTAAATAAAAGAAACCTACTACCTATTTTTCTGTAAAAGCATCAGCAGTGAAATAACAAAATTAATACAATGGGGACACAGGCCTGCCTGAGTGCTTGCCTCCTCATCCTTGATCAGCCATGGGGCTGACACAGAGGACATGTCTCATCCCCCATGTGTATTTATTTGAGTGCTTGGTTGAAATTTGGCACATAATACACCAATGTAAAGCCCTGAATTCTAAACAAAATCTTCCAATATTTGTTTTCTAGCTCAATAAAAAAACTGTTAATGAATCCAATTTAAATCTGAGAACAATATTTACACCTCTTTTATTGGGTCAAGTTTAAATGGTCTCAATGAAAAAGAGGCACAGTATCTATAAGCGCAATCAGGTTGAGATAAATTGTATGTCTTTAAAAAGTCTGGAATATGAGGTAGTCTAAAGTAAAGACAAATATATTACCAAATGATTCAAAGAAAATATAAGCCAGAAGTTACTTTTATTTTCCTTACAGTTAAGAGAAATCTTAGTAGAACACTATTATAAACATGTGTATTTCTAGGCTATAGTTTAAACATGTGGATTAATTGCTAATGAAACTGCATTTTGTACTGTCAGGAGAGTAGTAATACAAACAAGTCACTAAAGTTCTGATTTATTTGAAGAAGAATTAGATAAAGAGAACAATATTTGCCTATGTGTATTGACACTATATGTGTATAGATATATAGAATGAAAAAAGTAAGAAGCCAATTCATACACTTGAGACACATATATAATCATTTAGACTTTTTTTTAACTTGGCATATCTGCAACATTGATTATTTAGGAGGCCAGTACTTGCCTAAGTTCTGGTAACTTTTCACTATAACTGGTGAGGCTGATATACTTCCGGGAAAATTATTGTTTTTAATACTTTTCTAATTCCTTTGAGAATTTAAGATTGAGAGTAATTGATAATTTAAATTTTTCATGGAACAAATTAAATATGAAAGATCTCAGAAAAAGCTTCTATAGGGTATAAGTTATATTTTAAAGTATAAATGAAAAAGATGAATTCTTTTTCACAGAACCTAATGTTATCCTTGGAAGAAACTGAAGTTACTTATTATACTTCTTGAAGTTAATCATGTCAATTATTTGCATTGGATTAACAATGCCAAATGGAAGAATGTGAAGTAATTGAATAAGCATTGTGTACATTTTCTTCTATTTCAGTTGATTTATCATTAGTGAATAAGGATGAAGATGCCATCTATTTCTCCGGAAATTCTCTTGGCCTTCAACCAAAAACAGTTAAAACATATCTGGAGGAAGAACTACAAAAGTGGGCCAAAATGTGAGTATGATTTCAAAAGTTATCACTCACCATCTCATGTTAGAATTTTAAAATTCACACTAGATTGTCTAATATTTGAAAAGGTGTATAATAGAATTTTAGGGCAGAAAAGAATTTTGGTGATCATGTCTTTCAACACTATCATTTTATTGATGAAATAAATGAGGCTCAGTAAATAAGATCATATGGCAAGTCACTGTCAGAGTCAAGAGTAAAACTTTAAAATATTAAAAAAATTAAATCTCCTTCCTGATTTGTCACAGTTAAAACATATATAATTATTTTATTTTATTTCTTTAATGAACTAATAAAGGAGTTAACATTTAGGATTTAATTTAGTATTTTTATGATTAGTCCTTGGCTAACCTCTATCATAGTAATTTTTATAAATAAGGAAATAAAATTATTGAGGGAGGTGTAAGAAGGTGAGTGAAACAGAAGGCATTTTCTTCCCAAACTGAGCATGATTTTGGAGAAGATGCTCCAATGGGGCTCAGCTAAGCAGCTTCATTCCGACCATGCAGGGATCTTAAATCAGGGCCCATTCTTTTCTCCATCCCTTCTCTTCTACTTTTAATTTTCTGCCTGAGAAAACTTTCCCACAATTGGTTTACCTGAATGCTTACTGTCTTTAATCCAAAACTTTTCAAACACCCTGATATCCATCCTGAATATCCATTGTTTTAATAGGTAGTTTGAAGATGTCTATTTTCATTAGTTCCATATTCTTAGCTACATTAGGAATACCTAATCTTATATACTTGTTATAGTTCCTCAGTTAACTACTGATAAAGCTGAAACTAGAAATACTTTCAACATATTTGTAACTATTTAAAATGTTTTACATATTTAAAATATTAAAAATAAATAGAAATATTTTAAAACATTTTCTGATTCCAAAAAGTAGTTATGAAGGGGGAGCCAAACTTGAAGGTCAGAAACAAAAAAATTGAGGAGAATGAAATCAAACCATGTGAGAACTCAAAAGGCAAAACACGGGGATCTCATAGAAAGCCAGAATGTCTGTTCCATCTCTCTTTATTCATTATGTCACTGGCCTTATATACGTGGAATAGTATCTGATCTTTAAAGTTAGTTTGCAGCTATTAAATAACACTGCAAAGTTCTCAGTTTCAGTGGTTAAAATATGTTCACAACTTAACACAAAAATATAGAGGTTTATATAATTTATTAAATGTATTATAACTTTATCCACACAGTTTTTATGCATACATTGGAAAATAAATATCACTACACTTGGAAGCATTTTGAACTAGCAAGTTTTAATATTTTTAAAATGATAGAGTTAATAGAAATGGTTAATATTCATTTTTGGCCTTAATGTAAAAGACAGCAGAGAATTAGGTTGAATGAATTTGAACTTCAGAGAATGTCCTTGACTCTTGGATATTCAATCAGCTATGCTGTGCATTTTTATCCTCTAGGTTCTTTAAAATATGTTGCCTTGCTATCCTATTCATATCCTTATGATTATCCTACTTTATTAAGGGAATGGTTGATTATTTCAAGACTGAAGTTATATTTCAGGAAAGTGTCTCTGTCATAACACTTGCCCTGCTATAACTGCCTTTTAACTTTACATTTTTCCTTTTGACAATAGAATATTGCATAGTCTTAAAACTTCTTTCCTAATTTTTATCAGACAGATGATTTAAAAAGGAGGTACATTTTAATGCTTCAAGCAAAACAAACTAAATTTTAAAAAAGATAATTTCTTTTGAGCAAAAGAATAGGTAGCTAGTTTGAGTGGCTTTGCTTTGTCATTGCTTTGTTTATCTGTTTTGCTTTAAGTGGGTCTGGCCAAGTCAACACCATGCCCCTGCTTGCCCACCAGTGTCAGTGGAATGTGACATGCATGACTGCAATCCTGTGACCTCCTACCCCATCTTCCACCTTTGACCTCAAAAGCATTTGTTATTTCTTTGCTTCTAAATATTTAGTTTAAAATCCCATTCTGACCTTTTCCTTTCCTAAGGTTCTGTTGGGAGGAAAACTTTTATTCCACCAATTCTAGCTCTTTTGGTGGGGGGCCTCTGCATTAGGTTAACAACTACCAGATTAACAAAAGAAAAGTTTATTTCACATGCAGAAACCCTCCATAGGGAGTAATTCCCTGACCAGCTGGGAGTACAGTCTTTTGTACCAAACTAACAAAAGGGGCTAGTTTTAGGGCTTCAGTAGGAAAGTACAGAAGGTTCCATGAGGGCTTTTCATGTGATGATCATGTGCAGTATCCTTCCTGGCTGGAAGCTCCAAAAGAGGGAGACTGATGGCAACTGAATTCACACCTCCTGTGCTGTGTCACCCACCCTCTAAGGGGAGTCAATGGCAGCTGTATTTTTGCAAGGCTCTGCTTAAGTTTAGACGTTGTGTCTTTAGCTACTGTTTGTTCACATGCTTCATTTTAAAGTAATCATACCAATCTTGTGAGCAGTTGTGCACTGAAATTGTTTAACAGGAAAAAATAATGTTAATATCTTATAATCTTAATAGTCATAAAAATTACAGTGCTTTAACCAAGTGAGATTTTGCTCTGGAATAATAGTATCAAGTCTCTGACTGACCATCCATGACCTGTAAGGCAGGAAATGCCATTTGGTTCATGGTTGTCATTTTCCATGTCTTTATCTTTTATGGCTTATTGCAAACATCCTACCTGCTTATCTACTACCTATCTATAAAAAAATCACTCATCAAAACGTAGCTTGATCTCATAGTTCATATGGTACAATCTTTGAGTGTTATACTAAAGAAGGTCAAGACTAGAGGATGCTTGAGATACTTTAGGACCCAAGTGATTTCTTCTAAAACTTCAAGTTATTCAAGGCAAAACTAAAGATATAGCACTTACCTCCAGGTTTTTATATGCTTATTGTTATTTCCCAATATCACTTTCAACTCTGTCATTTTTCTAAATTAGATTAAAACATCTACTTTAGAGAATGAATTTGTGTTGTGAAATTACAATATTTAGATAATATTCTGAAATAGAAAACATTTAGGGTGATTTGACCCATTAGATATATAATAATTATCAGCAAAATGGTCTTTGACAACAAAAAGAAGCAACAAGATCAATATGCAATCAAGCAAGCTGGGGTCCATCCATGTGGCACCTTGACCCATGACCCAAAAATTAGTGTTGAAGGAAGCAGGTTTTTATTTACAGGATTCCAACCTCGGGGCAAAGGGTCTGAGAGCACTTTTGTTCAGAGCCCTGTTCTCCCACATAACCCAGCACTTCCCTTTGTCCCCAACAGGCTATAAGCCAAAAACATGCCCCAAAGTTCCCCATCTCCTTATCTGTTCTTAAGCCAGCTGTGCAAACAGTTCTCCATCCCCTCTGGAAGGTACACTCATGGGTTTCAGAGTCACCTCCTCTCCCAGCAGCTCTCTCCTTTAGGATCAGAGGTACATTGTCTAGGGAACATGTGCCTTGTCACAATGGATCATGGTAAAGGCCAGGTAGGCACATGTCCCAAGAGAGTGGCTTCTCTGTACATCCCTCAGAGAAGCAGAAGTATGCATTCTTCGTCATGGTTAGGTACTAAAGCACCACCCATGAATCTGTGCTTGGTTAGGCAGGTCCCTGCGCAGCTCTATCAGCTCTCTGGTTACACCCTCTCTTCAGCCCATATGGCTGCCTTCCTCACTACACCAGGCCACATGGTGGAATCCTGACTCCCAGCTGGCATGGCTTCTACCTTACACACCAGCTGTCATTGTGGACCACTTCACTATAAACTTTGTAACTGCTCGCTGCTTCTCTCAGGCCTCAGGACCAAATCCCTTTTTAGCCCACATGGTTGTTTCTCTACTCTTTTGGCACTCATGGCAGAATTCCCTTTCTTTCAGCCCACCCTTATTTTAAATGTTTGACCTGGGACTTCCTACAGGACCTCACATCTGGGCCCTCCTACAATGTGCTACTTTTTTCTGAGCTTCTATATCTTTTACCTTCTTTTGGCTGCCATCTTTGGTCAGGGCATGAGCTCCCCATGACACAAGGAGCCACCAGGTCCCTGCCTCTCACACAGGCACTGTATAAACTCCCCCAGCTACACCCTGAGTCACTGTATGATTTGAAAGTCATGTAGTCCTTTTGCCCTGAGCAGCTGTCTGCTTCCCTTCAGGAAGGATGTGGCTATCAAGTTTCCATTGTTGTGAAAGTATCTTAACTGCCATATCATCTGCTCTTGCTTCCCCAAACCATGGGCTATGGTAAATTTCTCCTATATTCTGGGGACCCATGCTTTGCATCTTTTTGCAAATATGTTTGGACCCTGTGGGTATGCTGGAATGAGCAGGCAATGAGGTTAAAGAACATTTTGAGAACATTTTCTATTAAATATCTACTAATGGTCTAGGTTATGTCAAGGAGAATAACATGGGTTAATAATTATAGTGGTAAAGTGCAGCTAGAAGGGAAAGATACATACCAATCCTAAAAAAGCAAAATTGCAACTTGAGCTATGTATATTATGTCCCTAATTTTTAACCACAATATTTTAGGTCTTTTGTGTTGTCAAATCTGCTAGATAAATGGTTTTCTTTCTTTTCAAAAATTTGCCATAGTTGTGCCTTTATAAGAATTCATCCAAAAAGGTAACATTTTACATAAGATTATTAAAGAAGAAAATAGCACACTGAGTTACATATTGGGAACAAACATATTGCTGCAGGTAATGACTTGCTTTATATGGCAGTGTGTACAGAAGGGGCGCTGGTGAGACCTGGAGGAGAGGTGTGCTCCTGCAGGCACTGCAGTCTCCTTAAATGTAAGAGTTTCTTTAAGAAAAAGAAGAGTATTCTATCTTCCTAAGTCTGATAGCTGGGTTTGTTAAATAAAGTGACAATAGGCAGATTAGCAAGAGAAATGATGTAAACATTTGATCATTTTTAGTTATTATATGAAGGCATCACCAAAAACAGCAAAAGTAATACCTTGTAAATGTAAGAAACATCCAAACCTGTATGAATTTTTATGAGTTTATTTGGGCCAAACTGACAACAATTTTTGGGAAGCAAAATCTCAATGGATTGAGAAAATGCTTTGGAGAATGGCAGGTTTGTGCATTACAATCAAAGCAGGAGGCATAGGAAATTACATGAAGTTTATTGGTAGTAGATTAGGGAGGCAAAGTGGAGAAATCTCTGACTAGGTAAAAAGTAAAATGGATAGACACATACTTCTTTTATGTTGGTGGGCATAGGAGAGTTAACATTAAACATTTACAGCCTGTAGAGCTGCTCTGCAGAGAATAACATAACAATGAGGGGTTCCTTGATCTTGTGCTCTGCTGCGAGACTGTGCCTTGAGGCACCCAGAAAAAATGGGATTACTCCACCATCTCCAGCGGTATGTTATCATAGATGCAAAAAGACAATAGATACACTCAGATAAAGTAAAGACTGACTTTTGTCAAGGAAGATAACAGCCTAGGACATGACTACCTCCTATGATTCACTTCTAGTTAGGAAGTTTTAATTTCAGACTACCCTATATGAGTACTTCAGGTCTCTGAGTTTATAAGACCCACCCTGCAGGCCTCCCTTGAGTTTGTCATGTTCAGTAGGTGGCCCATTTCGTACACAATCCCCCCAAATCAATGCAGTTTGAGAACTTATATGTTATCTCAATAGGGGAAAAGTGGAGAGGAGGAGACCACTTAAGACAGAATAAATGATTTTTAGGAAAGATGAATTGTCCCTTTGAAGAATAGATCAGAGGTATAGTTTTTGACAGTTTGTCTGGGTGTTGTGTCAACTTCTAGTCTCCTCTCCTGTGACAAGAGTCAATCTTCCCTGATTGATGAAGTTTCTTGGGGAAAGGATTTATGACAATTGAGTTCTTTATGGAAAATCTGCATTCAAGCAGGTTGAGGGGAGTTCAGAGACCACCTATGTATGCATTTGCTATTTTTCAAGTTTCTTCAGCTCAAAATAATCCTATGCCAAATAAGAAAATTTCACTGTAGCATAATCTGCCACTCTTCAGTATGAATAAGAGAGTACATGGCATGGCATATTACAAAGATTTTCCTGATATCTCCATTTGTGATCATCATTTAAGTTACACACACACACACACACACACACACACACACACACAAGCTGTGATGTCATGAAGGAAAACTCTAAAATCATTTATTTACTTATTTGGGAGGAGGAGCTTTTAAAAGCAGGGCCACTTTTCATTTTGTAGGATGCTTAAAACATAGTCCTATTTGAAAGAGGATCATCTATGCTTGATTAGATTTTATAACCTGAAATCGAATTTCATGAGCAAATAGTCCTTCCTGGACTTTTCAGAGAACACACGGCTTATGGCAATGTATGCCCTGGTGTTAGTGGTAAAATGGCACCAGAATGTTACTGGTGATTGGATCTCAGTTCAGCAACCTTGGCATCTGAGTTCCAGCTAAGAAAGAATTCCAAGCCAAGACTCAAATACAAGCAAAAATGTATTTAGAAAGTCACAGAGATAGAAGAAGTGAGCCATGGAAGGAGTGAACCAGCTGGGCTGCGTGGGCTCAGAAAACAAGTTACAGAGGCAAAAGAAGGGTCCCTGGAAATTAGGAAAAAGAAGCCAAGGATATATGCATCTGGGGGAAGGAGAGAGGAAAAGGCTTTGCAGAGCTCCACAGAAAGAAAAGCCATGCTGGGTTCTTCTTAAGGGCTTTTAAGGGTAGGGATTTTAGAGGAAGTCCCTGGGGAGGATCTCAACAGAATATTCACCAGCTTTTCAAGTATGTCCTTTCAGGGTGTGGTCTCCACTGATTGGTTGGTGCCAAGGCAGGGGGGTGGGTCAGTAGTCACTGCAGCTGGTCCTGATGTCAACCATTGCTTTGCCCCACCTGGCCTTGATGGTTTTCTGTGCCTTGAGCTAAAACACAACCCAGGCTTAGATATTATCTTCCAGCAGTTAATGCTTAATGGAGAAGTTGTACAAGGGTTTGTATGGAGGTCATATGAGGTTATTTTCTGGCCTAATGGCTAGTGACATGCCAGGGAAGGAAAGGTCAGAGGAGGGTCAAAGCCTCATGACCAGCAATATGAAAGGTCAGGGGACCTACACTACATGACCAGGGACATTCTAGGTTAGGATAAGATAGGTCACCTTGGGTGTGTTGTTGCAGCCCATTTTTGCCCCTTGCCAGAAATTTCTGCCCTCGTGACCTTGACTACCTAGCTTATCTTTTCTATTCTGCTCACTTCTGTCTGTCTGTCTATTAACTTGGAGTGAGTTAACTCTCTCCCATCATCTCTAGTATCTGTAAGTGAAGATTGCAACTACGTCGCAACTTATTTTAAGCAGTTTTGAATGAGCGTGATATCTTTTTCTTAACTCTAATGTAAATGCTTATAACTGCACTCTAATCTACATCAGTTCTTTCAAATGGCAAGCCACTTTACTTTGAGTTTATTTGGGTAACAGTTTCTAAGTAGACTTTATTACCCCAGGCTAGTGGCCTGACAAAATGAAGAAGCAGACTCTGTGTATGATATTTTAAAGGGACAGAGATGCCAAAAGCGTTGCAGGAAGAAACATATTCTTAAAGATTATTACCACTACCACAGTGTCTACCAGAGTGAGAAGTAGGTGGCATAATATTCTGATATATAAATTCTCTGAGGCAGAACATAGAATTTTACTACTTAAATGTAATAAGATGTATTGTGCTCTCAGGGAAGGCCATGGAGCTCTGTGTGATTAAAATAAAAAAGGATCCAAGTATCTGCCTTTAACTACCATTTAATGATAATGATTTTTGTCTTTAGCATTTATATTTGAAGTCAAGAACAAGGCAAGCTGCAGGCTATGTAATAATAATATGAATAATAATAACTAACAATTGCCCTTCTCTTCCTCCTTAGATCTTACAGTTTATGCTTATTCTCACAGACAGTTGTCTTCCTTCATCTTAGTTTATATGGTAATTGAAATATTAGTTTTAAAATTGTGCTGTACAGCACATACCCATGAAAAAAAGGAATTTTAACATTAGATTCACATTAGTAAAGAAGACTCAGAAAAGGCGTAATATATAGCAGTCTTCGTTTACATGTTATTTGATTTATTTTTCATGGCAATCCTTTCAAGTGCATATTGTCACCCATTTACTTCTAAAGAACTGGAAAATTAGGCCTGATAAGCTTCTAATAGAGACAGTCCATAGCCATCAGTGACATGGAACTGGCTCAGACTAGGTGATGAAAAGCAACTGTTAACTATTCAGGATTTTTGTTGATAGCCTGAAGTCAGCCACAGTGTGGGAACTCACACAGTGAAAATCAGCAAAGGTTAAAAAAACAGGGCACCTCTTCTCTAATTTTTCCACTGCTTTCTAGGGAAAGAGAAGAAATCCAGGCCCTCCACCCCTCACCCCAGCCTCCAACCTTGAGTTGTTAGCTGAAACCTCTATAATAAAAGACAGATTAACAAGAGAAAAACTAACATGTTTATTAACATGTATCCCTCATGTATATACACGGATTAGCCAGGAGAAAATGAATAACTCCCCAAGGTGGCTTAGAATTCAGGCTTAAATCCCATCTTAATATGGAGAGGGGCAAGAAAGGATAAATGATGTTTAGAAAAGGTGAATGAACCTGTGAATAATAGATAGGAAATAAGAAGTTTGTGACAAAGTTTATCTGGATGTGGTTTTGACTTCTAATCTCTTCTGCAATGAGTCAGTCTTCCCCGGTTGATGAAATTCTTATGGAGGGTATTTATAAAATGTGGTTCCTTTGGGTATCTGTCTTTAGGTAGAGAGAGGAGTTTGGAGGCAGCCTCCCCTGCATTTGATGTTTCTCAATGTACCATGAGATATTTTGAGGGTAGCATATTCTGCTACCCTTCAACTCGGAGAACAGGTTTAACAGCTCACTACTGTCAGCTTACTGAATTTCATTCCCAGTCTGTTCTATGCAAAAATAAAAAACAAAAATAAAAATGAAACAATAACAAAAACATGTGCTTGTTCTTTCTTCCAAGTTTACATAGGTTTTGAATCCCTAAAAATTAGGAGCTTCCTAAGATAAAAGTTTGTAACAGCACCCACCCTCCCATCCCAACTGCCACCTCCCAGCTTGACCCTTTGTTTTAAATCTTTTGCATTTTCATGTATTTATTTGCCTTCTTCATTAGATGAAAACTTGAGAGTTGAAGTTCTCTTGTCTATTTTTTTATTCTTTTATTATGCCTACTGGGATACTTACTAGAATAATGAAATTAATCTGAAACATGATAGATGAAATTGCTAGAAATAAGTCAAGATGTAGAACGGACTTTATTGCCAAGTTGCTTTATCTACCTAAAATGTCATCATAAGTATAATTATATTGTACACACTTTTTAGAGATTATAACCATATTTTATAATTGAATTTGTAATCATTGTAATGTTTAGCCTCAAAAAAGTTGTGTTTTATTATAGATACTACATAAGCTACAGGTATACATGTAGTAATACAAATAATGTTAAAATTTTGAAAATAATTTTAAAAAGTATCTTAAGTTCTAAAAAAAAGTAATGAAATAGTATATGGGTAATTTCCCCTATAGCCCACAGAGAAAGCAAATCAGAGAAATTTTTAAATGACAAGTTAAAAAGCAGAGTTCTCAAGGATTACTTCTGATTTTAGAAGCACGTTTTCATGTTATTATTAAAACATTACAAAACTCATTTAGAATTGTCCAGTTGCTAATGATGACATTTGAAAAATATCACACACACAAGCAAGGGTAAGAGTGTTTATGTCCCCTTTTCCTTTCAGGGGAGGCTACGGTCACAACACAGGGAAATGTCCTTGGATTACAGCAGATGAGGTTATTACAGGCCTTATGACAGACATTGTCGGTAAGTGCAAAACAATTTTATTCCAAAATAATTATAGAGACCTTATTATTTAATTATAGACATAGATTATGAAGTCAAAACCTTATTGAAAAAAATCCTGATTTTCCATTTTAATCCATAATAGCAAAGAGCAAGCATACTTTTAATTGAGATTTGATTGCTATAGACTAAGAATATAACTAGGTTATTTGGTACAAAAATAAAACATGTTATTGCTTTTCTTACATATTTTAAAACTAATATTTACTCTCTGGTGAAAAACACATGCATTGCATTAATTTATCATTAAACAAAATTCATAAAATCAACTTAAGTGAAATTTCTAAGATTTCCTTATATTGGAAAATGAACTCTAGCCTTTACATGCTAAAGGCTTAAAACACCAATGTGTTTTTGTGGTTGTTGCTGTTTTGTTTTGTTTTTGGCTCCTTACAATTTAATCCATGGAGCTCTGTTGAAGATTAGAATGAGAATTATTTAAAATAACATAGTTTATGCTGTTTTTTGGTCTATAATGTATTCCCTAAAGTGAGTTATGTGTACTCTTAGTGATATTCAAGATAGTTTTACATGGTAAATGTATTAACATTTTGAAAACTATTTATTTAATTGGGTTGCATACTTCATGAACCCTATATGAAATTTAGGGTTTTAAACAAATGAAAAACAATATTTAAGCAATCAAATGGTGTTATTTGGAAATATATGGAGGATTTAGGAGAATCTTGACTTTCAAAAGGCTTTTTCAAAACTCTTTCCCTTATAGGGAAGTATAAAAACATCCTTATTTTACCCTAATTGTATCTTGGCCAGTAATCAGAAGACAAAATCAACTTGAGCTGGTGAGAAAATGGAATTAGAGTGAGGAGAGCTGGGTGGCTTAAACAACAAAAATTTATTTTCTTGCAGTCCTGGAAGGAGGCAAGAAGTCCAAGAACAAAGGTTGGTTTCTGGCTTGGCCTCTCTTCCTGGCTTGTAGATGCCACCTTCTGTGATCTCACTGAAAAAGTCTTCTCTGTGGCACTTGGACAGCCAAAGATTCTGACATTTTTTCCCCAGTACAATGGCCCAATAGAACCACCTTGTATCAAATTCTACCATGATGCAGACACCGGCCCGCAGTGTCTGTGTCATTATGGATGAAATAAGGCATTCACATGGACTACCAAGTCTGGTGGAGAAAAAGGGACAGAATGGCTTTTCTCTTAAGAGGAGAAAAAGTTTTGGTCCTTGCCATGACTGGCCTTTATTGGGTTTCTAGGCACATTGCGTGATGGTCCTCATTTACTATGCACAGGTTTGCCTTTGGTGGTTACCTTTTATAGAAAACAAAGGAGCCAATGCCGCTAATCACATCACAGAAGAGGGATATTTCCAAATGAAAAGGCAAAAGTGGTTGAACCGGTTACACTCATCCTTGGAAGGTTTAGCATGGATTTTAGGAAGTTACTTTGCAGTAGATGTCCTCAATTCAGGGTGAGGGAGTTTTTTAGCAAGAGCAAGACTCATAGCGGCCTAAGTACATTGCAGGCCTGATTCCTCACAGGAGAACCTATCCATGGGCGTGGGTCCTGTGTATCTCCGAGTGGGAGCTGGGTCCATGCCAAGCAGAATGGTTCCCCACACTACCACATGCACAAAGAAGAGTATACTCATGTTTAAAACAGCCCAAATTACCAGACTTTTAAGGATAATCTGTCTTTAGTTTATAAAACATATTAATATGTTACCAATTCAAAATATTCACAAAATAAAAAAACTTCATAGAATGGTTGCAAGCAGAAGCAGGCCCTACTTCCAACTGGTTATTTTTAAGTAATCTTTATACCGTACACATTTCTACCTGTTTTATATTGTAAGATCACCATGTTGACTTCTAGTTTAAGATAATCAAGTCCAAACGGAAAATTCTTCCTTCTATTCCAAACACAGAGAAATGATAGAAAAAATAGTTAACAAGCATATAGTACCTTTAAAGAATTAAATTGAAATCATTACAAACCAGAAACATTGACATTGCTGAAGAAAGGAGCAGTGGAAAGGCTGGAAGGGCAGTATCTGGGGGCAGCACATGGAGCGAGGCAGAGTGTGCAGGGCCGGAGTCCAGCACTGTCCCATGAAGCCTCAGGGCATTTTAGCACAGTTGTTCATGCTGGGGCTTGGAAATGAAAGCCATACTTTTTGTCAGCCAGTGCTGGTAAAGGCAAAAACTGAGCATTTTCTGCCAGACCAGCCAGATTCTTAAAAACACAGCACTTCATCAGGCTGAAAGGAGTGCATATTCTAATGGAGGAACTCACCAACTGAACAAGCCTGAATTGTGTCTAAAGACATAGTAAATATTTGTTTAATAATGCTTTCATCTGTGTTCACTTTTTAGAAGCCACTTATATTCATTCAAATGTCTAACATGTAAACAAAAGAAAACTAAAATAACTCCTCCATTAATGTGACCTGAGAATATATATTTTTCTTAGCTGTAGATCTTTTTTCTCCCTCTAGCTTTGCTTTCAGAATATAAATTCTATTCTAATCCTATTACTTTGTGCTCAATATTTACCATTCTCTAAAGAGGAGTTAGGATGTTTATATCCAGTCCAGGGAAGTGGTCAGATGATATTATTTAGTGAGATTTATTTATAAAGCCAATAAACCCTGCAAAGAGATCTCCTTTGACCATTTAAAAGTATGTAGCTCTTTTGCTGTGTAGTAAATATGCATGTGTTTTGTTGCCTAGTAAATAAATATATGTCACAATAATCCCTGAAACTTCAAACCAGTCATCCCTCATTATCATTTCTAAGGAAAATGAAAAAAAAATTCAGATTTGTTTAGAAGGGTAAAGAGACTGAAGTTATTTAATTTTTTAAAGAATATTTATGAACACTAGCCTTAGAATGTCCTGCTAGTCTTAGAAATACCATACAAAGTTATAACATGTATGGAACAAACTCTTTTTAATTTTCTGTGTTTCTGTCATATTTCCTTTGAAATGTTGTCAGTGAATAAAGGTAATCTTTATTTTAATTATTATTTTATTGTTTTGTTCTTTTTTGTTCTTGACCAGAGAAATACAAATTGACAGCATCTGCAAAAGTATATTATGAGCAATATTTTAAGAGCTTGGTATTTTTTTTTAATTTGAGTATCTATTAGGCCCAAATTCTTTTACTCTTAAAATTGTGTGTATTAGTCAGAGAAATGGTTCTTAAGTCAAGTGGAAAAAAATGAGTGATTTCACTTTGTTTGCTTTAGTAGAAACACATCCTTTAGTAGGTGTTGGCATGTATTGATCTTATTTGTTGCAAATCCCATACAAGTACCTTTTCTGTCTCAGTTACTAAAAAATTCTCAAAAAATTTGGTCAACTTTAAAATAACAAAAACTTTTAATCGCTGCTAAATTGTTTTTAATTGCATATACTATACTCTGTATCTACTTTTATCATTTTTTTTTCACATTGTAATACTAAAATCTTGGAATCCTCTTTGAGAGCAGAGTTGGTAACAATCACAAAATATTTAAAATAACAGTGTGGTAAGTATGGTAAAGAGCAGCAGAAACCAAATTTGCTTTTGCTGCTTACTAGGCAAATAGACAAGTTGTGTATTTTGTTTTATGATTGACTCCTCCAGGTTCCTAAAATCATGGCCTTTATTTCATCATAAACCATCTCAAATAGAAGTAACAGGAGCCCTGGATGGTGTAGCTCAGTGGACTGAGTACTGGCTGCAAACCAAAGTGTCACTGGTTCGATTCCCAGTCAGGGCACATGCCTTGGTTCTGGCCAGGTCCCCAGTGGGAGCCACGTGAGAGTCAACCACACATTGATGTTTCTCTCTCTCTTTTTCCCTCCCTTTCCTCTATAAAAATAAATAAATAAATACATCTTTAAAAAAGAAGTAACAGGAGGATAATAAAAATTATTATGCTGTACAAACTATTTGATAGAGTGGATAGAAAGGAAGAAGAGACAATGAACAAACAGTATTTATTCATAGACATAGAAAAGAATATCAGTGTCAGATGAGAAGAATATATATTAAGGAAATATTTTACATAGAGCCAACAATTCTTCAAAACATGTAATAATGTTATCTTATCATTAATATTATATTATCAAGATGCTAGAAATAGAATTGCTGAAGAATATTATTAGTATTATTACTAAGCCTACTTCTCCCTGAGTACATAAAAATCACAAAGGTCTAGATACATGCATCTCAGCTTATAATATTGTTGTAATGTGAACATAAATTTGCTTTATGAAATTTGGAATTGACCCTCAGAGAAGCAATAATCCCTGAAGGCTTTCTCCAAGGAGTCTGAGTGCTCAGCCATGCACTGGCCACCATGAGAAGCTAAAGGAATTTGCTGCTTGAAAGATAAAGTGGAAAGTTCTCAAACTTCTCCCAACCACAAACTTTACATCCACAATAATATTTGCATCTGCTTAATAAAATAAACAGAAAAGGATATGGAAGCTGCAAGACCCATCATGAACCCTGTTACCAAACGTGAAGCAGCCAGGCACCCTGCCATGTTCACTTTGCAAAACATTTGAAATTAAATTACAATTAGAAAGATACAGGAGAAAGTCTGTGAGTAACACGGCCTCCTATATTTGATGTACAGGGGATAGACAATTTTCGTATAATTGTGAACAAAGACTTTAATTACATTTTTTTTTCTACAAGAGGCTAATTATTTGTCTTCTACTTCCTGAGAGACTTTGGGCAAGTTAGTTCATCTCTTTGGACATCCATTTATTCATTGATAAAATATGAAAAAAACTAAGTAGATAACCTTATCAGTTTACTATGAAGACTATGTGAGATAATACATGTCACATATTTAAAAGTGTTGGCAAATAGTAAGGGCTCAAAAAACTTTAGCTTGCCAGGCAAAGAGATAAAAAGGTATTGCTTGCATATATATATATGTTCAACAAATAAAGAAGCAGTAATTCACTTTCCTGATGAGAGATGTGATTCACACCCATCTCAAATGAAGTGATTCAGATCTTAACATGTACTGCAGTGAAGTATAGGATGATCTTCAAAGTGAAGACTCTTTTAAAGCCTGATAAGCTTTGGGGAAGCTTTTCAAAAGAATTTTCCTCAATTCTTGTTGATGATGCAACATTAATTTTTTAAAAGCTCTTTTAAAAAAGAAGAGAAACAATGAAAAGCAACTTAAAAGTTTCAGGTTTTATTTTAAAAATTCATTTTCTTAAGGAATGCTGACAATATTTAAATATGTTAGAAAAACAATGATGGTTTCAGAAATACAATTAGAACTGGAAAAGACATGTCCATTGGGTCACTTTTCTATTTAAAATACATTAAAATCATTTTTGGTCATTTGATGTTAAGAACATTTCATTCTTCAGTGCCTTTAGCTTACATTTGTAATGAACATTTCTGTTAGTGTTCTGCAGCTGTAGTCTTAACACCACGCTCAGGTATACATATGTGTGCATGTGTGTATGTCAGACTGACCCTGTTCTTGACAAACTTCAGTAGCATATGAGGACAGAATTTTGAGAAGCACCTGGTTGAATTTAATTTAAATGTCCCAAAGCAGATCATTTTCATGTGTATGGGAAGACAAATTATTCTAGTGAGGGATTCTTTACAAAAAATTGATTCAGTGTTAGTTTCTGAGGGGAAGAAAGCACAATGCCAAGTGTGTATCTGGATTAATTCATCTCCATACATCTGGTTCATCACATTCCCATGCAAGGAAAAATGTAGGTGACCTCAGATGAATGCTGCATGGTATGGAGGACTAAAATTTTTCAGGAATCTATAATCATTTTAATCAGAATGTAATCAAAATTGGAATTAAGCAAAAATAGAGCATCTGAGCTTCTATAGAAATTCTCCTCTATCCCATCCTGACTCTTCTATTTCTTTAGTTTCATTTTGTGATTTTTTGGTGTGTGTTTTCTTCTCCTTATTCTTTCAATGCTTCCCTTTCTATTAATTCATTGTCTCTTTACATAACTTTTCCTTCCTTCTTCCACTCTCCCTGCCATTTTAATGAAATAAATGATTTTCAGAAACCATTGTAAATAACTAACAGGGAGTTAAGGATAATATCAGATTACATATCTTAGATAATGTTTTGTTGTACAAATAATAGCAAAAATTTATACTGTCATGCAGAGAAACAAATGTAATAGAGCTGGCATCATTTCTTTTACCAGATTTCAAAAAGATTGTCATATGATAGGAGATACATGCAACTGTATACATCATAAGCACATCATAGCCATATCTATGTAGTATGTTTAAGATACATTTTACTTACTCCTTGGAATGTAAAATCATATTATTTCTATTGCCCCTTGACTTCAGACACTCTAAGCCTCACAATGACCAGGCATACACCCACCTTGCATATCAAACCCTGCATATCAAATGGGGAAATCCATCTGCCATTTGCAACAAGAGGTGTTGTTTTTTTTTTTTGGTCTGTGTGTTTGTTGTTACTCTATGAAGACACAGGTTCTTTCCTAAATGGCTATGTTGAAATTTAAATGCATAAGTTGTACAATTACTTCTATTGGCGTCCCCTTAAGTAAACTAATCCTGTAATTTATCTATTATTTAGAATAATTATTCCAATTACTGTCTCTTCCTCTAGTAGAAGCATCTCTTTGCATGCAAAACAAAGGACTTGTATTATATATTTTTTCTAATATTTAGTACAGCTTTACAAACATTGAAGCTCATAGCCTATTTTTCCCAGTGATGGTAAAGAGGCATTATTCCTATTGCACAGATCTAATTGGTTTTAAGAGACAACATAAGAACTAAAAATAAGGAAAGTATTATCATTGTTGTTAATATGCTCTGAGTTTATTGTCCAGTATGTGCTCTAGGCCTGTTTCACCACCAAAACCCTCAGTAATAGAAATTGGATCAGATGTAATTGTGTAGTGGATATCTTAATTTTGCATGTTTTTTTCCATCAGACAATACTTATCTATGTTAATTATCTTATATCAGTGTGTATAAATAAGCCCCAGAGCTATTTAGATATTTGTATTTTTACTTGCTAGTTCCTTTGTCTTCTAAACTATCACATAGCTCACTGGAATAAAAGTGAATTACATTTGGTGAAGCAGCCTTCTTTTATGAAAGGTGCATTTTAATTTGACATTAGAAACAATCAGCTTTAAAAATGTGATTGGCCTTCATTTTATTTACCATTTCTTTTGGAGACACACTTACCACAAAAATGTGCTCTGTGGGAGTTTGACCAACTAGCTAATAATAGGATAAATCATTTTTAGTTTACAGGAAAAAGCAAATGCTTCATTATTTTGCTGTTATTACTTACTATATAAAAAATAAAACATATTTTTTAGCTAGCTATGTGCATTAAGTCCAGATACTCTTTGATAAAATGAGTTAAGTGGGAAAACTTCCATTTCTTCCATCAAATGTGTTCGTATCCCTAAAGACATTAAGGAGGAAAGAATGAAACCTTCCTACTTTGTTTTTTCAAGTAACTTTAGCACTAATAGAAACATTTTAATTATGACATGTTTACTTTGCAGGAGCCAATGAAAAAGAAATAGTCCTAATGAATGGTTTGACTGTTAATTTACATCTTCTACTGGTAAGTTTCCTTTTCCACCAATGTTTCATATACATTTATTACATAATCTGACATGTTTTTATCTTTAATTCATGAGTATCTGGTGGTTTACTTGCTTAAAAATAAGTCATGAGGTTATTTTCATTTTTAGCAGGAAATGCTGGACCATGATAAAATGGCTTCTTCATATTTGTGGGAGAGTTGACTCTTGCAAAGAGCTTTAGAATAATGAACAACTCTTATCTCAGAACATAAGGAATAAGAGTAACAGTGGGTGAAAAGAAAAACTGTTTGCAAGCACACAAACTAATGGTGTACAAATGCTAGCAAACACTGAGCTTTATAGAGAGGTAGTTTTTCAATATGTTGGAATTTAGCAGGAGAGGATTATGGATCAGTATGGGTCAGTAAATTAGTTTTTTGAAATAGGTTAAAACATTTGAAAATAAGATTAAATTGGAGAAAAGGGACCTAGTACCCGAAACGAGTTGCTGTGCTTAAGGTGCTTATTATGCTATAAGTATTTAATAAATGTCAAATATTAGATTGACCAAAAAGGCTGTAAGTTTTTTTTCTGTAAGATGGTTCGAATAGCACTTAGTTGTCTTTAACTTCATGCAAAACAATTTTGTTAGATTTTATTGTGACATTATAATAGTTGTCATATCAGTGTGCATTAAAAAAACTTGTCAAGATTGGGGAATTTTTGTGTAGCTATTTTAATACTGAATATTTTTACCACATTTTTACCATATGCAATATTTTTACCATAGTATGCTTTATTATTTGAAGAAAGACAAAAATGCAATGGAAATGCAACAAAAGATATGGAGAAGGTGCTGTGAGAGACCGAAAGTGTCGAAAGTGGTTTGTGAAGTTTTGTGCCTGAGATTTCTTACTGGATGATGCTCCATGGTTGGGTAGACCAATTAAAGTTGATAGCAACCAAATTGAGACATTAATTGAGAACAATCAACATGATACCCTATGGGAGATAGCATACTCAAAATACCCAAATCAATAAAGTTATTAGTGAAAATGAAAAATGTGTCTTTCATTTTATAAAACAAAACAAATGCACTTTTTGGTCAACCCAGTATATTCTGGATTTGAAGTATAACATCTATAGTAATTGCTTGATGTTTTGAAATTTCTTTTTAAGTTTTTGTTAACATGTCTACATGACCCAGATGCACAATGAAGATATTAATATTTTATTTTAGTAAAATGGAGAAATGTTAACTAATATGACTGAAGAAATATACTTATGGAGTATGTTAAGTATCAAGGTAAAAAGCATAGTTTTAAGTTCAGACACCTCTGGGTTTGACTCCCACCTAAGTTACTTAATGCCTCATTGAATTTGGACAAGGTTATGGCATTTTAAATCTTAATATTATTCTTTGTAAAAATGAGGAAAATAATACCTACCTTGTAGGTATGTACAAGTATGAAATGCAGTACTATGTAAAAATTGCTTTAGCACTCACACCAGTGACTGACACTGAATTAGTGGTGGTGATCATCTTCATTACTGTTACTGTCAGTCCCCCAGGAACTGTGGGGAGAAATAAAAGGGCCCCACTGAATAAATGAGCCACTTCTCCCTGGTGCCTCTAGAAATGTGAAATGTTTCATATTAGGGCTTAGGTACATTTTAGTTGGACCTAAAATTAAATCCCATAAAATAATAAAGCAGTGAAAATATTCTATACTAGAAACCAAATCTACAGTGGAAGGTAAGTCAACATAAAGAAGACATGTATAGGCTATGAGATTTCAGTCTCACAATAGAGAAATTACCATTGAATACATTGGGAGGATAATTTTTGATTAAAATTTAAATAACTTTAAGGGTTTGTATTTTGTTATTCACATTTTCTCCTGAATTTGCTTCTACATCAATAAATATAATGAGCCAGTATTTTTTTTCTCTTTATAATTCATTGGAAACAAGGCTAATTGGAAAAGATATGCTTGACAGACACCTAGATGTGTAATTAATACATTTAAAATGCTGAAGATTATAAAATGGTGTATTAATTCTTTTATCAATAAATCTATTTTGTTGCAGTTATCATTTTTTAAGCCTACACCAAAACGGCATAAAATTCTTCTAGAAGCCAAAGCCTTCCCTTCAGATCATGTAAGGATTCTTCAAGTTATGTTTATATTCTACCTATTCTTTCTAGAAGAGTGTATCACTTGCCTTACTTTTCCAAGTAAACTTAGAATAAAAGAACTGTGAAATGTTCTAATTTAGGCATTTTTAAAAAATAAATTATATCTTTATTTCTTTTGTTCAAGTAAAGCACATACTAAGAAAGGTAAGAATTGAACAGGAACATTGATTTGTTAGTGTTTTTTTACGACATTGAACAAACTGCTCCTCTAAATCTAGTGTAGTTAGAAACATTTTGTTACTTTACATTACTCTTTTATTTTATATAAAATCAAACTGATACATACCCCAGTGCTTAACCCTTTAGGTATAAATAGTAATATAAACTTTTATCTGTCCATTTTATAGCATACTAGTGTAAATATTGAAAAATTACTTATTAGGTATTAAAAATATTTCATGTGGTTCACTAAAACAACCATGCTACTTTATCAGCTATTCGGTTAAGAAATCTGATCACTCCAGACACAGATAAAAGTATACTGTACATTTCCATTTTAATGTCAGAGAAACTTTTGTCTTTGTATTTTCACTGTTAAGTGTTCTAGCCCACATCTTGTAATTTTAAGTGTTTGAATTCTGCCCATGTTAGTAGTCATTGCTATTGTTAAAAAAAACCTCAACTAATATCTTGAAAAAATTCAATGTCACTGTAATTGAAACCCATTCGGATCTTGTACTCTCAAGGAAGAGAAATTTTGATGTTCTTTCCTTTTACTATCTTGCCTTTTCTAGGGTAAGCCATTTCTATATGCTCTGTTCTAGACTACTAAGTTGACACTACTCACTTTGGTTATTTTGTAAATTCTGGTTTTGACTTTTATAAGTGATTTAGTATCCTATTCTAAAAATTTCTTGTATCCTCATAAAGTCTAGATCACTTCTGTGTTTTCATGTATCTTATTATTTAGTGTTTCAAGAAATGTTCAGATTCCTGAACATGTAAATTAAATTAAGCAGTTCTTCTCTAATGTGTTTTGTTTATCATTTTTAACCTTGACCTTGGATTTAATATAACAGTACACTTTTATTGTTATTTTATTATGTATTTTCAGAGTTCATTTCAAAGTACTTGTATATATTTGACTTAATTCAATAAATTATCCCTCTTTTGTAGTATGCTATTGAATCCCAGCTGCAACTTCACAGACTCAGCACTGAGAAAAACATGCGGATAATAGAGCCAAGAGAGGTATATGAGAAACAAATAAATATTCATCATGCCTCTATTTAATATTGATTTTTACAGTTTTCTTCAATTTATTGTCTTCATTATTTCAATGGAATTTTCAAGAAGGTATAAAAGACCTATGTTTCTATAACAGATCATTTTGCTAAAAATGGAGAAGTAACTTGGATATATATTTATTTTTATTTTTCAAAGGCTAGTCATATTACAAGCATATTGTTTTACTGCAAATTTTAATTTCAAATGTCATTTTCTACAGATTAAAATAACATTAAAAACTAGTGATAATTTTTTGAAACTGTTGAATAATGCCAGTCTTTTATCTCTTCTTAATCTAAGGATCAAATGTTTTCTTCTGAGCTCAGACTAAGGGGCAGGAAGGGATGTCATATAGCAGAAAAATCTTGGGCTTTATAAGTGGCCAATATAAACCTGAGAAATTTCATACCCACCAATTTACTGGGTAAGGGACTTTAGGAAAGTTACTTTATCTCCCTGGGATTCCTTCATATTTAAACACATAACAAAGGAAATACCTAAAAGATGTGAGCATATGTTCAAGATCTAAAATATTGCTCACTTTACATTAATAGAGATATGTCTAAACTGTAAAAACTTCGACATACAAACCCTGCAGCTTGTGAAATTTCACACTAAGAGATTCACACAGAATAAATTTTAGTTTTCACAAACAATGCTACCAGGCTGTTAAACCAGTGTTTGAGCAATTGTTTCTCTCAACCCAGAATACTTGGAATTAAAATCTACTTCATTCACTTTATTCGTCAATATGCAATAAATCAATGAACCAGAAAGTTCCCACACCTGTGAGAGGATCTGTTTTCATAGGTCATATATAAATAGCTAATGTCAAACAAAAATGAATACAGCCACCAATATATCACATATTAATTTTAAAGATGACAAATGTTATTAATCCTCATTAGTTAGCCATCATCTTGGGGGCACTTTGGGGCACTACTAGATTAGAGCAAGTAAACATGAAAGAGGACCATATCCTGGGAATTTTCAACCTTTTCCTCTCATGGTACACATAAACTGATTACTAAAAGTCCGTGGCACACCAAAAAAAATGTTATATTTTTGCCAATCTGACAAAAAAAATAGGTATAACTCTGATTCTTTCTCATTGGATGACTATTGTCATTTTTTATTTAGCAACCTAAAGGAAAAGAGGTCAGCATTTATGGCTAAATAGTTGAGTATTGCATGTTTTGAAATTTTTTGCTACACACCAGTTGAAAATTGTTGCCATATTCTATATTTAATAAATTTATTTATTTGCTTAATACTGTGTCTTAAAATAAATAACACATATTATTATATTGAGTACTTTCCATACTCTTTTTGAAATTATGGTGGGCTCACCATATTCAAATCTTTTAGGAAAAAAGAATTCTATATTACTGCATTACTAATTTTACTTAGATTTTCTCAGAGTTACTGAAATCATCCTTTTTTGTATATAAAGTATGCATCACTTAACAACTTAGAGATTTCAATATCAATATTGTTTTCATAGACTTCATTTGGTAAACAAATTTTAAGCTTCTAGTAGAAGTTAGGGTGTGCATTATGTTTGTGATATACGTAACTTATGTCTGACATGGGATGCAGTAATTAGCAAGCAGCAAGAATTACCAAAAGTTAAACATAACTGAAGGAACACTTATGAATACAATAACAAGTTTTCCTCAGATATTAATACAGTTAGTGATGCTTTGACCTCACAATCATGTGAGATTCAGCACTGGAGAAGAGTCCTTAATACTTCATAAATAGATAAAAATTGTTATGAAAGAAGTTGATACTTCCTGTGTAGCTGATTTCTTTATGTTCATGTTGTTTGTAAGACCAAATCTAAATTCATCCACAATTTTCACTGAGTAACCAATCATTAATTTTAGCTAGGGAAATGTGAAGAAAAATAACCTTAATAATTGAATTTTATTGATATTTTTCCTCATGTTTGAGTTTTGATCTTTAGATTTCTTTGGAGGAGATTTAATGCTTGTTAATAGAAGATATTGGTTAGGTTATATTCAGATGAAAGGTGCATAAGTTTTTATTTATAAAATATGTATGTGTTTTTATTTGAACTAAAAAACATATTATATTGAAATATTTATTTCTAAAAATTATCTCACTATTGAATATTTCATGAAATTTTACTTCCTGTATTTTATTGAATAGGAATAGGAAGGAAATGATTTATAGGTAAACATATAATAGCAGTTAATTGAAAAACTGAAAAATAAATCAATTAGGGTTCTGTAAAAATATACACTTTATAAACCCTTCTTACTCTTCCATTATTATTACTTAATAATAAGACAAAACATGCTCAAATGCTGTTCTCTTGCCAAGTTTTGGAAGATCAATAACCTGAAAAGAATTTACCTTTGATTTTACTTATGGTGGGAAAGAGCTCATGGAAAATTTTAGGTCGGGAAATATGAAGAGAGAAATTTATTATTGTGGATTTGATGTAACTTAGACTTTATTCAACTTTAGGGGGAAGAGACCTTGAGAACAGAAGATATCCTTGAAGTAATTGAGAAGGAAGGAGACTCTATTGCAGTGATCCTGTTCAGCGGCCTGCATTATTATACTGGACAGTTCTTTAATATACCCGCCATCACAAAAGCAGGACAAGCAAAGGTATGCGCCTCATTTGCTCCTTCCTATCACACCCAAGCATCACTCTACTGAGAAGTATGCTAATTGCACCTCAAGTAAAGTGCATTTTTCTCTGTGTAAAATTATTTAAAGAGTTAAAAAAAGAGAAAGATTTGCATTTAAAAAACCTATAATCTATTTTGCTTTAGGCATCTCTATATAAATCTCTTTTTGTCACTTCTCTGGTCTCACCTTTTTACTAGCATCTCCTGTCTCAACCTTTACCTCTAATCAACAGAACAGGTGAGCTTCCTGCAGGTAGTATTAATGGTAATGAGCTGCTTAGTCAAAAGAAGCAAATGGAATATTTAGGATAGTAACTACATTCTAGGACTATTTGTCCTACTGTGACTCATTTTAAATATAATTCACTCTCTATTAATCCTAGGTATCTGAAGAAAAAGAAATGAAGAATAAAGATTTATCAGTAGATTGAGTTTTGCACAGTTTACATTAAGGAAGATGTTCCCCCCTAAAAATCTTAAGAAATGATTCCACCTATCACAATTCCTTAAGTATTACTAAATCACATTAAACTGTTTAGCATTTTGAAATTATGTCTCTTTATATATGTGTTTATAAATATGTTATTTTAACATTTGTTAATCAGAGAGGACCAATACTCAACATTTAAAACTTGGATTTAAAATCTTTAAGTTTTATTTGATTTGGCAATCAAGCCTTGTATTCAAAAAGGTGACAATCTAATTTTATTCTAAACATTAATAAGTTATGGGGGCAATGTACGTGTGAGGTCTAGTGAATATATTCAGTTATTGAAGCTAATGAATGGAACTAATGAAGAGAAATTTAGCACCATCATCAGCAGTCTCTAGGAATTTCCAACCACGACTTCCAACTGGTTTGATGGATAACTGTGAAAGTGGTACATTACAAAAGATATAAAGATAATGTCTTCTTAATTTAGATATTAAATGTTAAGCAACAAAATAAAAAGAGGCCAATAAAACATTATGTTTTAAAATGTTATACAAGAAATCAGCAGTCCCTGAGTCCCTCAGGATACATGCACATCTCATTAGCCTTCACAGAGATGAGCACAAAGATGTGGAGGTAAGACCATGGGTTTAGGAGTCAACCACACAATCTGAGGTTCAAATCTTGGCTACATCATTTTTTATATAGTCTCAATCAAGTTACTTGAGTTTTCTGAGTCTCTGCTTTCAAAAGTGTTATTTTGGAATGCCAAGAACCAGCTCATACATTTTGTGTAGATGTGGAAGAGTATAGAATATTGGTTCAGTTGTACACATTCTGGTGTTAAGTGATGGCCACCTTCTCCCCTTCTCCTGTCTTCAGCAAATATGAAGTTAGGGAAAGTGCTCAGATGTACATTTTCTTCTATTTCCCACTTGAAAGTAAAATGCACTTGTTTACTTAGGTGTTATATGCTATTCTCACTCTTAACTACTTGGGTTGCTAAAATCATTCTCTCAGAATTTTGCATGCTTTCTTTCAGTTAAAAAATGTAGTAAGTGCCTGCCAACTGAACTTCTCTGAGCTTTCAGTCAAATAAAGATAAAAGCAAGAATTTCCATCTAAATGAAACCACAAGAGTATGATACACTATGGGAGTTGAATGGTGCTATAGTAGACTTAGATATATCCATTTTAAAATTATTTTAACAAACATTTATACTCTTGTTATATAGTTCCCTTCCCCCTATTTTCAGTGGATGTTGAGAAAAGTTCTTCAAAATGGAGGCACGCATAGCTCTCTTAAGTGGGCTCTTAAGGATAAACCTGAACGAGAGGCAGAGAGAATATTAAAGGTGTCAATCAAGAAAGAGATAGGAAATTCTAGAAAAGGCTGTTAGGAATGGCTCAGTGAGATAAAAAGGAAGAGGAAAGCTTTCAGAAATGAAGTATGGAAACAAAAATCATGTTAGTATGGAGCAATGAAAGTCAACAAGAATAGATTTTGATATATGGCTCTAAATTATGTAAAAGGAAATTGAAGACAGGAATTTTGAATAACATATTCATTAAAGAAATGCATGCATGTGAAAAAGAACAACAATCATAAGTGGCTTGATAAGTTATTTTGAATCCTTAAAACCATCACACCTACATCAAGAAACTTCTAGAACATTTATATTACTCAGAATCCTCAGCTGTACCTTCTAAATACTGCCTGTTACCACTTTTCCAAAGGTATCACTCTTCTGACTTCTAACTTTATACATTAGCTTTGTCCATCTTTGAACTTCATATAAATGGATTAATATATTTATTTTGTGTCTGGCTTACTTGATCACTATTGCATTTGTAATATTTATCCATGCTGCATGTAGCAGTAGTTATGTTTTTTTTTTCATTTCAGTGTATTATTACAGTATATGAAATAGATCACAATTTATTTTTATCCATTTCAATCAGGATAGATATTTGGGTTTTATTTTCACTCCAGGGTTTTTTTAAAAAATGCTACTTTGAACATTTATAGGAAGCATTCATATTCTTTGGGTAAGCATTCATACACATGTTTGCTAAATATGTAGCTAGAAGTGGAATTCTTAGGTGTGTGTATGATGATTTTTAATCAATAATGCCAACTTTTAAAAGCATTGTATCAATTTGGCATATACTACTACCAGCTTGAATGAGACCTTCTGTTGCTCTCAAAAGCAGATCTAATTAGTTTGTAATAGTAGCTACATTGTAGTTTTTTCTTGATGTATAACCAACATATATATTATCCTATTAGTTTCAGGAGTACATCATAGTGATTTTATATTTATATATATCACAAAATGAACTTTATAATAAGCCTAGTTACCATCTGTCACCATATAAAGTTATTACAATATTATTGCTATATCCCCTAACTTAAAACTGAATGTTTATACCTTTTAAACCCGTTCACTTATTTTACCACCCCGCATACACTCCCCTCTCTGGTAAACACTACTTTGTTTCCTGGCTCTATAAATCTGTTTAGATTTTGTTTTGTTTGTTCATTTGTTTTGATTTTTAGATTCCATGTATTAGCAAAATCACACAGTATTTGTCTTTCTCTGTCTTATTTCACTAAGCATAATACCCAGGCATGTCCATGTTCTCATAATAGAAAGATTTCATTCTTTTTATGCCTGATTTATATTCCATTGTATAAATGTAGCACACCATGTTTGCCCATTAATCTATTGATGGACACTTTGTTTACATACCTTGTCTATTTTAAATAATACTTCAATGAACACAGGGGTATGTATGTCTCTTCAAATTAATGTTTCAGATTTTTTGAAAAAATACCCACAAGATAAATTGATGGATCATATGGTAACAGTATTTTTAATTTTTTGAAGAACTTCTCTACTGTTTTTCAGCAGCTGCACCATTTACATTCCTACCAGCAGTGTATGAAGAATCACATTCCTCCACATCCTCACCAACACTTTTTTTTTCTTTTTGATAATCGCCATTCTGACAGGTGATATCTCATTTTAGCATTCCTCTGATGATTAGTGATGTTGAGCATGTTTTCATGTGCCTGCTGGCCATCTGTCTATCTTTTCTGAAAAAAAAGATTATTCAAGACCTCTGCCCATTTATTATATGTTTCTTAATTATTTAACATGTGTAAAAATTGTGTTGTCATCTTTATCAGGTGCTTGTCCATTTTTTTGTGTCACCAAGTTTTTAAGTGCTGTCCCAAAAAAACATTTTCTCCATATGCCTGTGGATTTTATTGCACAATATTTTTGAGTGGGAAGGGAAGATTTCATTCATTTATTTATTTATATTTTCATTCATCACCCTCTCCCTGTTGTCAACCATCAACTTGTTCTCTATATCTCAGGTTCTATTTCTGTTTTGTTTAGTCATTTATTTATAGATTGCCCATGTAAGTTAGATCATAGGGTATTTGTCTTTCTCTGAGTTAATTCACTTAGCATAATAACATCTAGGTCCATTGTATTGTTGTAAATAGTAAAATTTTATTCTTTTTTGTGACTAAATAATATCACATCTTTATCCATTCATCTACTGAGGAACATCTATGTTGCTTTCAGTTCTTGGATATTATTAATAATACTTTAAAGAACAAAGGGGTGCATATATCTTTTTGAATTAGCATTTTTGTTTTCTTCAGATAAATATCCTGAAGTTGAATTGCTGGTATATATGGCAGCTTTAATTTTAATTTTTGAGGAATCTCTACACTAAATTTACTATCCCACCAAGAGTGTACAAGGGTTCCCTTTTCTCTGCATCTTTGCAGTATTTTTATTTGTGTATTTATTAATGGTGGTGATTCTGACAGATGTGAGTTGATATCTTACTGTGTTTTTTAAATTTTAAAAAAGATTTTATTTATTTATTTATTTTTAGAGAGGAAGGGAGGGAGAAAGAGAGAGAGAGAGAAACATCAATGTGCAGTTGCTGGGGGCCATGGCCTGCAATCCAAGCATGTGCCCTGACTGGGAATCGAACCTGTGATGCTTTGGTTCACAGCCCGCACTGAGCTACACCAGCCAGGGTTCTTACTGTGGTTTTAACTTTAATTTTTCTGATAGTGATGTTGAGCACCTTTTCATATGTCCATTGGTCATCTGGGTGTCCCCTTGGGGAATATATATTATATATAATATAGATATATGTACTATATATATTTTTTTTCAGGTCCTCTGTTTATTATTTAATTGAATTGTGTGTTTTTTAGTGTTAAGTTGAAAGAATTTTTTAAATATATTTTGGATATTAAACCTTTATCAAATGTATCATTTGCAAAGATCATCTCCCATTTAGTAAGTTGTCTTTTCATTTTGTTGATTTTTTCTGCTTTGCAAAATCTTTTGAGTTTTATGTAATCCCATTTGTTGATTTTTGCTTTTGTTGCCCTTGCTTGAGGAGACTGCCCCCAAAATTATTCTAAGAGCAATGTCAAAAAGAATATTGCCTGTGCTTTTTTCTAGGAAATTTATGGATTCATGGATTTACATCTTACATTCAAGTCT